TCTCATACTATAGAATTAGAATTTATAATCCCTATTCCATGATGAGATATCTTTAGGCTATAATGTATCTTAATTCAAACTATCTTTAGATAGGTTTTTTCCTCAAAAAGCATTTTATAAAAAAAAATCCAATTTAAATTAAAAAAATCTGGTTGTTTCTTTTATTTAAAAAAAAAAATCATTGATTTTTATCCACCCTGGGCTCTAGAATTTACTCCCTGCACTTAGTCTGAAATAGCCCAGATTTGGTAACCTGAAAGGCACACTGCAGAAGATGGATAAGGCTTTTGGGGAGGGCTGAGGGTCTACTTCCCACAATGATGGAATAGAAAGGAGTGTTTTTGTATTGCAAGTGGCTGTCAGGTGGAGTTCCTGCAGGAGCCATTGTTTCAGTGCCGTTGGGACTACGTTGCAGTATTAATTGTGCATTCAGGCATCTGGAGCCTTTTATAGGTGTCTCTTTATTATTTAAATCCAAATAAATAAATTCCCAGTAACTGCAACGGCAATTGGGTGTTCAGTTCCCTTAGCTGCTTTGAAAATCTGAGGCTACATCCTCACTACGGGGGCGGGGGGATCGATTTAAGATACGCAAATTCAGCTACGCGAATAGCGTAGCTGAATTCAACGTATCGGAGCCGACTTACCCCGCTGTGAGGATGGCGGCAAATCGACCGCCGCGGCTCCCCCGTCGACGGCACTTACTCCTACCTCCGCTGGTGGAGTAGAAGCGTCGATTCGGGGATCAATTGTCGCGTCCCGACGAGATGTGATAATTCGATCCCCGAGAGATCGATTTCTACCCGCCGATTCAGGCGGGTAGTGTAGACCTGCCCTCAGTTTGAGAGGATTACTGAAAATGTCACTCACAAAATATGTGTTTAAGTGATTCTTCTGTAACAGAGCTGGAAGGAAGTGAGTACAGATGGAGTTGATAAAAAAAACCCCTTTCTTGCTTTGAATGCAATGGATGCTGTAACATGGGAAGAAAGCTGCAGTTCTCACCCCTTCTTCTGATGTGCGTGCTTCCACGGCAGAAAGCAGGTGGTGATTTGTGTGGTGGGGAATCCAGCTTAGCAAAGTTTTTTGGGTCACACTTTATATTAAGGATCCATTTATAAAGAGTTAATGAATGATTATCAGACATTTTTATTAAACAGCTGCTGTGTTGTTATAGAGTCCAACAGATCAGTTAGTGGTTTATAACTGTGTGTTCTAGGCTGCTATAACACCTTCTGCTATAGTGTTTACAGCCATCTATGCCACCCACCCACCCCTCCCAGAATCCTAGAACTATCGGGCTGGAAGGGACCCCTGTCTGTAACATGCCTATAACATCTGTCATTGGTTACCCCTTTCTAAATGGAATCTCAGTCTAATTTTTTGTGGGGAAGTTTTGTAGGTTTGTTAACTAGGAATTGTGGGAGGCATGGGTCAAAGAGGCTTTGGGGAGGAAATGAAGGAGAGTCTGAGCGCTGGTGCCTGGGTGTTTGAAAGACACCCCCCCAGGGCAGGTATCTGGACTGGGAGTTGTATGGAAGTGTCGAGAGATCATGGTGAGGCATCAGAGTACAGACTCTCAGCTCCCCACCAACCCTATCTAGTCTTTCATATGTCAGCTCCCTTGTACACACCTGCTTCCATCGTACATTTCAGTGCGCCCCTGGTCCTGAGGCAGGGCACAGCTATGTAAGGGCCCTGTCATAGTGTAGAGGTGCCAGTCCTGTTTCGCTCAGGAGCGCTAGCATGCAGGAACTCCTGCCAGGGTGGGCCCCCACCCCGTGCATAGGGGATAGCAGTGTGGGCAACTGCATGGCCCCTGGTGCCCCCGGGTTCCCATTTTTTCTCCCTTCTCCTTCCTGTGTTCTCTCATTTAGCACACCCTGCCCTCCATTTCTCCAGCCTCCTTCTGCAGATCTGTTGTCCCCACCCTGCAGTTACCCTGCCTCCCCTTCCCCATACTCTTACCTCCACAGCTCATCTTGCCTGCTTTTATATGTCTCCCCCCCCACACACACCCCCAGGAGTTCTCCCCCACTTCTCCACTAAAGGAGTCCCCAGTCACACTCAAACTTGGAATCTCCTGGGGGTGGCAGCTGGCCTGCCCCCCATCCTCACAGGGTCCCTATGCCCCCAATCCAAGGACAGGAAATCTTGTGGGAAGGGACCGCTGCCCTCTCCCCCCGGTGGGACCTGAGCCTGGCGGGTACATCCCCTGGCTGAGCTCTGGCCCGTACTGATCAGGGTTCTGGCACTGAGGATTCCAGGCCATCAATGGGCCTGGATTGTCCATAGAACCCGCCAGCCCAGTGCTGGTCCAGAGTCCAGGATTTCGACGGGGAAGAAGGCCATGGAGGAGATTTTGGTTCCTGGCCTTGAGACGGAGACGAACAGCGAGCCCCCTCCTCTTGATTCCCCGGCGAGCAAAATTTGGGGGAGGCGTACCTGCCAGCCCTCCACAGGACAGTGGGAGGGAAGGGTGAGAAATTGCCGCCTGGCCCTCCCCCAGGAGACATCAAGGGTCCGGTCTCCTAATGTTGTTTGGGTGGCCCATGGGATTGTGGGGCAGAGTGAAAGGAGCTGTGGGTATTGGGGAAGGGGGGGTGAGACCTCTGGCGGGGTGGGGACGACGACTGCATGGGGGGGCAATGCTGGGGGTGTAGCTGCTGGGGAGGAAGGGGTGAAATTAGTGGGAAGGATGTGTGAGGTTAATGGAGCTGTGCCGTGGTGGGAGGAGCCGGATCTTTGTAGGGCACATGTGGCACAGGAGGGGAGGTATTTCTGCAGGGACCTATGCACCTGGGGAGCTTGGGAGCACTATCTGGAGCCGTGCAGATGCCAGGGGAGCCGTAGGGGCAACTGGAGTTGTGCTAACGATGGTGGGAATGTTGGGGCGGGCTCGGTGGGTATTGGGGAGCAGTGGGAAGAATCCCAGTTGTGGGGGAAGTGGAGCAGTGTTGGGGTAGGGAGCTGGCGAGTTCAGAGCAGGTGGAAAGGGGTCTTTTGAGGGCAGGGTTGCTGTGGGGAATCAGAGCTGAGGCTGGTTCCCTCGAGTTGGGAGTGTCTCTGAGCTGTGTGTGAGGAACTGGAGCTTTGTGGGGCTTGGACATGGTGGGGAGGAGACCCGTGAGGGGAGTCAGCTGTGCGGGATGTGGGGAGGATGAGAGACGGTTTGAGGGGGAGGAATTCAGATCTCTGGGGGACTATAGGGAGAGGCAAGGGGGCAGTGGAGGGATCATGTGTGAGAATTGCAGGCCTTTTCAGGGACGTGATGGGGAAAGTGGGACTTTGGGGGCGGTGTGGGGGGAACTAGCCCTGTATCCAACACCTACCATCCTGCATCCAGACTACCGGCAACAGACCCACTGGCTGGGCAGGCTGTTTGTACAGACCCTCAGCCCCATGCACTTGGTCTCCATGTGGATCTGATCGGATTTCCCTCTGGCTGTCCCAGTCTGACGAGCCTGTGGTGGCCAGTCACATTGGGGCTCTCTCTGCTAAAGCACAGGAGTTTTGACACAAGGGAAAAGCCATCTCTGAGTTCTGGGCTTGTTGACTGAAAAGTGCAGCTAATTGTTTGACTACAATCACGGTTCGGTCTTAAAAAAAAATGTTCAAGAGACCAAATAACTGAATGTAGCCAAATTCATTGTCTAAAGACAAAGCAATACAGTATGAAAAGGGGACATACGAACCCTTCTTCCAGGAAGCAATTCTTGTCTCACAGCGTGTTCCCCTTACACCAAAGGTATGCTTCGAAGATCTGCATTTCAGCGATTTGTAGTATGACTTTACAAGTTACACAGCTCTTTATATGTCACTAAATCCAGCCCACTGGTTGTAACAGTTCCTTAACTTCTTGTTCTGGGCTGTACTTTTCTTTGCTCTGTTTTGCATACTACATTCCAAACCAGTTGGGTGGAATGGTACTTGTACTAGGACCCAGAACAAATGTACTTTGATTTTGACTAATTTTGTATTTGCTAGTGCCAAAGTTGACTTCAGCTTTGCAAAGCATTATGGGATACTTAGTATGCTTACTCTTGTTCACGCATGCTATCATTCAACTGTAAAGCTTTGTGCTAACATTTAGATAGAATATAACGCGCAATACGTATTAGTATGGTGTGCAGTACGTATAAATATACATATTAGCTAACAGGCTGTTGGCTGCATGTCTGAGGGGAGATTCAGGATAGGCAGGGGCTTCATAACCAGTGGATCCCCTAAGCTTCACAAGGTGCTTGGACCCAGTGGTGTAGAGCCCCGGAGCCACAAAGTACCAGGAGCAGGGAAAGCTGTAGAATGTAGATGCTCCACATGGTCCCTGCTTCTTGCAGTCTCCAGCCAGCCTTTGTGAGTCAGCTCCCCACTTCAGTGCGGCTTCCTCTGCACCTCAGACCCCTTATCTTGATTCCTGCTCCCCTTCCCACTTTTGCCTCCCTCTGCACCTTTTAAAATTCACAGGACCTGCTGTAGCCCTTGCTAGCGCAGCAGGGGCAATGAGGCTGGTATGAACTCTGCTGAGATCTGCAGGAGCTCCTGCGCACTGGGAGGCCAGTCTGGGTCTGGGAGCAGAACCAAGGTCTGGTACATAGGGCAGCCTGGGAAGATGGAGTAGATAACTTGAGTGAGCCATTGTAAATCCCAATTTGCTCACCATAGGATTGCAGATGAGTTACTCTGAGATAATGGTCCACAATTTACAAGTAGCTCATTTTGGCAACTCTTTTTGATGCATCAGTTCGAGCACAACATGTCAAGCCCCTGCTATGCACAGTTACACGTGTTATGAAAAGTCAGTACAAACCACAAAACACAGGATTTTACTAAACAAATATGTCAGTTCTCAACAGTTCTTTAGTTGAGTGGAGTTTATCGTATCTTGCAATCTTGCCAATTAATCACCTTCCTGCCAGTTGGAAAATAAATCTTTCTTGAAAATGTTCATGAGGTCTTTATTCTTTTTTTCTCCCCTTCACATTCCTTTCATCACATAGCAATGCTGGACTGAAAAACTTGCTGTTCGACTCCACCGCTGCCATGGGTAGCAATCAGCTCCTGGAGAAAGATGGCACTGAAAACCGTAGTAAAGATCTCAGCAACGGCACCGACAGCAATTTGGAAGCCGCCAGGAGGCTGGCTAAGCGCCTCTACCAACTGGACCGATTCAAGCGCTCTGATGTGGCAAAGCACCTGGGTAAAAAGTATGTGTTGACACAGGGCTTTTCATGAACTGTCATTCGTATGGTCGATTCTGTACAATAATAAGAGCAGCTTGAAGTTTGATTTTTAATAATAAACTTTTTGGTTTTTTTTTTTAAGCAATGAGTTCAGCAAACTTGTGGCTGAGGAATACCTGAAGTTTTTTGATTTCACGGGTATGACGCTGGATCACTCCCTCAGGTATGTGCTCATGTCCAAACCTCATATTCTTTTCACGTTGTCTCAATAGATATAATTATCCCTAGAGAATCTAAGGAATTGAAGATGGAGTCCAAGGGGAGGTTAATTCCCATTCTTTCAGTTTGCAGTTCGAGTGTATAAAAACATAAGAACATAAGAACTGCCATCCCGGGTCAGACCAATGGTCCATCTAACCCGGTATCCTGTCTCCGACAGTACCAGACAAGTAGCAGACAAGTCTTGTCTCCAACACTACCAGAGCTTCAGATGGAGTGTACAGAACAGGGCAGTTGGAGTGATCCACCTCTGTCTTCCCCTCCTGGCTTCTGGCAGTCAGAGGTTTAGGGACACCTGCAGCTGGAGTTGCATCTCTGACTATCTTGGCTAACAGCCATAAATTTACCTAGTTCTTTTTTGAACCCATTTATTCTTTTGGCCATCACAACATCCCATGGCAATGAGTTCCGCAGGTTAATTGTGTGCTGTGTGAAAAAGTACTTCCTCTTGTTTGTATTAAACCTGCTGTCTAATAATTTCATTGGATGATCCTAGTTTTTGTGTTATATGAAGGGGTAAATAATATTATCTAGGGCTGTCAATTAATTGCAGTTAACTCATGCGATTAACTCAAAAAAATTAATTGTGATTAATCGCACTTATAACAATAGAATACCAATTAAAATTTATTAAATATTTTTGGATGATTTTCTACATTTTCAATATTGATTTCAATTACAACACAGAATAGAAAGTGCACAGTGTTCACTTTCTATTATTATTTTTTATTACAAATACATGCACTGTAAAATGATGAACAAAAGAAATAGTATTTTTCAGTTCGCCTCATGCAAGTACTGAAGTGTAACTTCCAAATGCAGATTTGTTTTTTGTTACATAACTGCACTCAAAAACAAAACAGTATAAAACTTTAGAGCCTACATGTTCACTCAGTCCTACTTATTCTGCCAATCGCTAAGACAAAAAGTTTGTTTACATTAACGGGAGATACTGCTGCTTGCTTCTTATTTACAATGTCACCTGAAAGCGAGAACAGGTGTTCGCATGGCACTTTTGTAGCCGGCTTTGCAAGGTATTTACATGCCAGATATGCTAAACATTCGTATGCCCCTTCATGCTTCAGCCACCGTTCCAGAGGACATGCTTCCATGCTGATGATGCGCGTTAAAAAAATGAGTCAATTAAATTTGTGACTGTCCTCCTTGGGGGGAGAATTGTATGTCTCCTGCTCTGTTTTACCCGCATTTTGCCATATATTTCATGTTGTTATAGCAGTCTTGGATGATCACCCAGCACATGTTGTTCATTTTAAGAACACTTTCACAGCAGATTTGACAAAAAGCAAAGAAGGTACTGATGTGAGATTTCTAAAAATAGCTACAGCACTTGACCCAAGGTTTAAGAATCCGAAGTGCCGTCCAAAATCTGAGAGGGACAAGGTGTGGAGCATGCCTTCAGAAGTCTTAAAGAGCAACACTCTGATGTGGAAACTACAGAACCCAAACCACCAAAAAAGAAAATCAAGCTTCTGCTGGTGGCATCTGACTCAGATGATAAAAATGAACATGTCAGTCTGCACTGCTTTGGAGCGTAGAACCCATCATCAGCATGGAGGCATATCCTCTGGAATGGTGATTGAAGCATGAAGGGACATATGAATCTTTAGCACATCTGGCATGTAAATATCTTGCAACACCAGCTACAACAGTGCCATGTGAACGTCTGTTCTCACTTTCAGGTGACATTGTAAACAAGAAGCGGGCAGCATTATCTCCTCAAATTGTAACCAACCTTGTTTGTCTGAGTGATTGTCTGACCAAGGAGTAGGACTGAGTGGACTTGTAGGCTCTAAAGTTTTACATTTTTATTTTTGAATGCAGTTTTTTTAAACATAATTCTACATTTGTAAGTCAACTTTCATGATAAAGAGCTTGCACTACAGTACTTGTATTAGGTGAATTGAAAAATATTTTTTTGGTTTTTTTACAGTGCAAATATTTGTACTAAAAAATAAATATAAAGTGAGCACTGTACACTTTGTATTCTGTGTTGTAATTGAAATCAATATATTTGAAAATGTAGAAAACATCCAAAAATATTTAAAATAAATGGTATTCTATTGTTGTTTAACAGCGCGATTAATCACGATTAATTTTTGTAATCGCTTGACAGCCCTAATATTACCATAATATTACTAAAGAAACTAGAAATTGGTGACATTCCCTGGAGGGAAACACTTCTGTTGAATTGTTAAAATTCTTGATGTGACATTACCCAGGGTGCAATCTGGACTGCTGAACAGCTGTGTCCCATCCATTCTCCAACTTGGGGTGCATTTTACACTGCTTTGCTGTGAGAGCAACCACTCCTGGTCTGCTCTCACCCACCCTCCAGCATGTAAATTACTCCCAGCTATACCGTATGAGTGGTACTGGCAGCCACTCTTGAATTACACTGCACGGCAACACCAACCAATTCCCAGTCCCAGACTTTCCTCAGAAATGTGCGTCTTGTACTGCCCAGCTCCCTCCTGGACAACACAAGCTCATATAAAGTCTGTCATTTTATTAATAGAAAATGATATGCACAAATCCTGTTATCTCACATGGAGTTTCCCAAACACTTCAGTCCAAGCATACACTGGCTTAGATTAACAATAAAACAAGTTTATTAACTACAAAAAGATAAATTTTCAATGGTTACAAGTAATGAGGCATAAAAGTCAGAGTTGGTTACAAGAAAATAAAAATAAACACTACTAATACCTAACTTAACAAGTTAGAGTGAATTCAAAGCAAAGGTCTCTCTCACCATGTTTTAGCAGTCTTACTGGCTGAATTCCGTTCTGCCAGGATCCCTCCCCAGTCCAGTGATCCGTCCTTCGTCCTTCAAGTGTTGTCAATGCCGTGAGTAGAGATGAAAGGAGAAATTTGGGGCCTCTTTTCTCCATTCTTGCACCTTTTCCTCTTCTTTGAGAATTATCTCCAGCTGGGGGTCAGGAGACAGAAAGTCTGTGGGGACGGGAACCTCCAGCTGTTTCTTTGCCAAGATGTAGATTTCTTGTTCATACCCCTTTTCCTGCCAAAAGAATGGCCACTTAACCAGGTGCAGGTCCATTTGATTTAATTAACACCTGGTTGACACCAGCTTGCCTTTTATCTCTGAGGAACTGGTTTGTTTCTGCTTTTCTAAACTTAAAAGATGTCTCAGGAATGTTATACAGTAGACATTTATAACTTTGCATACAATGCTACCACACATATTTCACCAGGACAATAATGATCAGCAAATTATGAGTTCTTCTTCGAGTGATTGCTCGTGTGTATTCCACAGTAGGTGTGCGTGCTCGCCACGTGCACCGGTGCCGGAAGTTTTTCCCTTAGCAGTACCTGTACTGGGGGAGCACCGCTGCGACCCCTGGAGTGGTGCCTGTATATCGCGCTATAAGGGGAGCTACAGGCTCCCCCCACCCTCCGTTCCTTCTTGCCGCCAGTGAAGGTAGTCGGAACTTTTGTTCTCCAGCTCTGCTGTAGCCCTTCTTCTCGACCTTAGTGGTAGCATTGTACATTGATCTTCAGTCGCTAGAGCGGGCTCGGGGCATGCCCCGTGCCCCAGGCTTCAAGTTGTGCGACTCCTGTCGCCGCTCTATGCCCAGGAGCAACCCTCACGCTGACTGTCTTCACTGCCTGGGTGAGACTCACATAAGCGACCGTTGCAAGATCTGTAGGTCGTTCAAGCAAAGAATCAAGAAGGAGAGAGACTTCAGACTTCGAGCTCTCCTGATGGAGTCGGCACTGACTCAGACGCTGGTGCGCAGATCGGACTCAGCACCGGCCGCCGCGTCGTCGATACGTAGCGAGGCCCCTTCGACCAGTCGGTGCCGTTCTCCCTCCAAAAAGCAAGGGAATGGCTCGGCCTCGCAATGCCGCCGCGATAAGGACAAGGGGGAGGCTGGTCCCGCTCTGGGCAGCCCTCGATCCCCCCCGGGCTCTAAGGCTCCGACTCGTGTGGAGCGGAGCAGCCCAGTACCATTGACCCAGGCATCCCCACCGGTACGGATGCTGTCAACACCAGAGGTGGTGCAGGCGGCGAAGGACATTATGTCCCTGCCTGTCCCGAGCTCGCAATCGGGTATGGGGCCTAGGTCGCGGGGCAAGCCCCCTTTGGGTGCCCACCAGACCTCTCCGAGCAGCCACAGTTCCGGCTCTGAAGATCGATCCCCGCACCGCAGTGGCCGCTCTTCGGAAAGCTCCCGGCCACCCTCGACGTCGTCCAGACCGTCAGGGCCGCCGTCGGGACGGGAGTTGCGGGAACCCTCCATGCCCCCTGCCAGCGAGCGGAGGCACCGAGGGAGGTACCGGGAACGCTCATCTGCTAGACGTGGGTACCGGAGCCGCTCTCGACGGGACAGACGTCGCCGCTCCCATTCCAGCTCCTGCTCGTCGAGGCGCCACGCTGGAGACTCCCCTTGGGGTACCTCGGCGTCAAGGCACTGGGCTTCGCGTCGCCCCCACGCGTACCGAAGCAGTTCGTCGCGTGGGTACTGTTCGTCGTCGTCAAGATCCCGGTCCCGAGGGAGACGACGCTACAGACGCCGCTCCTGCTGCTCCCGCGGCACCGAATGTTCTTTGGCGACCTCGGCTGCGGCACGCGTCCACCCACCCTCGGCACGTGCCATCCCGCCGGAGCACATATTGCCATTCTGTGCTCAGCCAAACCAATGGCAAGGGACTCCGTGGCAAGGACAGTGGTGCCAATGGGCACCGTGGCCATCGGTGCCAGCCCAAGTGGAGGCCCGTTCGGTCGCCGGAGTGTCCCGGGCTCCATCGGCCTCCTCCGGCCGCCCAAGAGACAAATTGGCGGGCCACGAGTCGGCAGACACGCGCCGGGACTCTGATCTCGGTATCGACGCCCTGGCACCGACCGAAGTGCCCGGCTCCGTATGGGCCATCTCCCCGGTAACGGACGACACCATAGCGGCG